GGCTCTCGTTATAGAGGTGTAGGTCTTGGCTATCATTCAGTGATTTCTTGCCGTCCTCTGCAGGAGTGCTAAACGTCTCCTCCATCTGCGCGATGTCATTGATGGTCGACTCGTAATCCAGAGCAGCAAAAGCCTCGTCTAGTCTCTTCTCCTCTGCCAACGACTTCCTCTGACGCCCACCTCTGCCTCTTCCACGCCCTCTCCCACCGGAAAGCCTACCCTTCTTTGGCACCGCTTTTGATTTCTTACCACCACTTCGACTACGAGTTGGATACTTATGATTGGCTGCCGCCTGTGGTTCATAATCACTGAGCACTTCAATACTATTCTCCAGACTATTGGAACCGTTGGAAGCGCTGGAATCAATGGATCCGTTCCTCTCAGTCTTCGACTCTTTACTGTGGATCTGGTCTATAAGTGACAGACATTCCTCCACATCTCTACGCTGTGGTGTATACCGATGCCTATCACCCGATGGCTGACTGTCGTCATCGCTAAAGACATTGTCAACAGAGGCGGCGGGAGTGTCGGCGACCGCACTATCATTGACAGCAATGGCCATCACGTTGTTCTTGGTCTGAGTTATCACTCTCTTCAGATCCCATCGCTTCCTGTCGTACAAAGACATCGCGGGTTTCGTGTCTTTCGTCACCACGTGATCCGCGTCCTCATCACTACTCGTGTCGTAATTAATCACTGGTTTGGTCTTTGACTGTGACTTCTTCGCCACTTTTGCCCTCACTTTCGGCACATCCGATGCCATCTCTGCCATCGCCTCAACCTTCACGTCCGTCCTCTCAGTCTTCACTTCAGCCTTCATCGTCAGTGACGTGTGATCGCGGCTTAAGAGCTGATCCGCACAATGGGTGACAATCTGTGGACACAAACACTGATAACTGTTTTGTTTGGCTTTCGCTCGCAATTCAAATATCCGATGCAGTCGTCCATAAATAACGTGACGTTTATTGTGACACAACTTGTGGTGAATTTGTTTCAACTTTTTATTCATTGCTTTTGAATTGATTTGACAGTCATTTGAATTTAGTGTACAATTAGTATAGTATACTGTTATAATCAGGGTAGAAATAATTGTCTTAACGTAGCGTAATGATTTGAGTTATAGTTTTTTGTTACTAGTTTAGTTTTGTGTTAATTAAATTTACTATTAATATTATATATAGCAATTTCTATTATTAAATGTTTTTTGTAGTTAATTAAATAATGTATTAATTAAGTTAATTACTATATTATGCAAAGTTTGTAATCATTAAAATTTATTACTTTTTTCGTAATAATTTTAAACTTATAATAATAATAATATCTTAAAAATATATAATTTAATTTTGTTTTGTAACAATCTGGATATTTTTATGTTAAGTTTGCATATTTATTTGGCAGTTAAAAATATTTTAATTGATTTATATGATGATAGCATCATAAAAAATATTTATTTTTATAAAACAAACTTAACTGTCATAGAAATACCAAATAAAAAGTAGGCAATGAATACCCGGATAGGGAGTTAATCATAGGCTAACTGTCCTCCAAATACAAAAAAAGCTTTCCTATAATTATTGTCATTTCAAATAAACACTAATTAAATGCATAATTGATATGATAGTTATAAACTTCAATCACATGTGAGCTATAAATAAAAAGTTATGATTTTTTTTCGTAATTAATTACATATTTCTCTTCAAAAACTTATGATAACGACAGACAATACACGACGAGTCAAGTGATTGGGTGACTGGGAGGGGACCGGGAGTATTGGGAAAACTATTTTTTGGCAAACAATTACCGGAGCACTCGATCATATCAAGAGGTTTTGCGTATAGAGAAGTGGATGGAGTGGTAGAGTCTGAGGCTAACCATCCCTATACCCAAGGCCTGTGACATTGCATTTACGTAAATCTGATACACAAATAGCATTCAGAATAAAGCTCTTAATCATTGAACACTGAAAATACTCGTTTGAATTGCCAGTGCGAGTGTGTGTCTTGTGGTGGTTGACCTCCAATACTATTACTATACAATCATATGAGAGAGAGAGAAAGAAAGAGAGAGAGAGAGAGAGAGAGAGAGAGAGAGATGACATTCAAATAAATGGTTGTTTTAATAATAACTGTACGCGTAATGAGTATTGACCGCAAAAATCTTATGTCAATTACAGTGCCGTTTAATTTAGTAATAAAAAACTTTTTTCGCGATACATAAGCCCTGCTCACTCACAGCGCCTGTAGTTTAGTGTTGACGTAAATCGTGATTTCAATGCCTCACACACTCATATGCCTGATGTGTATAGTTGTGAGCAGTCATTGAATTCTTGAATACTTTTTGAACATTCATTTGTTTAATACTTTTCTCTTTTCCCCGAAATAATCCAATCGATGAGACAATGGAAAGGCATTCATAAAAACTACTGTAAATACAATTCACACAACAATTTCATATACACTTGTATTCATGGAGTGGTGAACCCCTGTATCCCTCCCCTCCCTATTACATGAGCACAGAATATATCACAGAATATATATACAGTATATACGGTAGATGTGATCGCATGCGCGCCCAGACTTATTCCGATTACATACCAGTGCCCTGTGTTTTGTATCGCAATATTCGTGTGTCTGTTTGCTTGGAGAACCTACCAGTGCAACGGCAAAGTTACATAAGCTCATACCTACTCACACTAACACCGAGTGTTTACCTATCTAAATGGCTCACCGTAAATACATACACAGTAAATATCATGGTGAAATGTACGGCTCGGCCTAACTAACATACCAGTGCTGTGCCGGTTGACCAGCGATTCTGTGTTGACCTTACGTATGGTATTGAATGCGGATTTGAAATCTCAAGAATTCAGTTATAAATATATTTTAATAAAAAAAAATAAAAGTCATAAATAGATACACAGCTGAGATACGGCATATCTTAAGTGGAAAGGTGTGAAAAGTCGTCAATCTTTTTCCCTTTTCTATATCGACATACCGTTCCTCGCATACACAGACACATCCATACGTAAGTGTATTATCAGCGAGATTTTGTGTGCTATTTATGAATAATACTGAGATATTGTATAAGAGATACCGAGATTTACCTAAACCTTGGTTTTACAAATATCTATCGCTGTGGCACTACTGGTAGGCACGGGTAGTATCGTGTCTGACGTCTGTACACCGCATACGGAGTCGACAACATTGAGAAAAACGACATCATATGAGGGAAGGCCGTAAGCATTTCATACATGTTTTACTCGTATAGTTAATACTCGTAATCGTGTATAAACTCAGTACCCATTAGTTAGTGTCTATGATTCAACTCATATAACAGCACAGAATATATACATGTAATGTGATTCTCGATATCATTTTGTGCATAGTATCGGCTAAAACATCCATGTGCTGTTCAGTTGTGGACAGTTATATCAAGTTAATGATTGTCATTTGTATAGATCTTCTAGTTAAGTAATTATAACTGACATACAATTTTATATATCTATGAATACACGGTGTATGATTTTAATTTGTGTATTTATACCGGCAACTTTATAAAAATAATTATAACTTATTAAACGCCAAATATTATAGCAAAGTATATGATTTTACAGCGTTATTCTGGTTGTGTGAGCAAGCTCAGTTAATTAAACAAGAGTTGTTCAAATTCTTGTCAACAACTTTAAAACAAATTATTTTTTAATTTGTAGACATAACCAAAAAACGAGTGAAAATTTGTTTTCGCAGTTATAAGCGAATCCATTTTCCTTATACTTTTGTGCCGGCTATAAATAGTTGTCTCAAATAACAGACAATTGTGTCGGGAAAACATACTTTGCTTTTTTATTAAATACAATAACGATTATTATTATTATTTCAATCAATTTCTTGATAAACACTTGAGCACCGGCCTATTTTGTTTGTGCAGCTATTTTGTTACCATACATACACTTATTAATATTAATATTAAATGAAATTAATTTCTTGGATAATAAGATATTATTGATTTAATAGCACAAAAAGCTCACTGAATATTCACTGAATTATTTGACGTGTGTTTTGATGAAACAAAATATTAAGTCTATGTTTTCCCTACTCATCGAAAAAATCTAATTATAAATTGAATTTGAAATAAAATACTTGTTTTAATTTGTGTTCAAAAAAGTACTTTTTTGTGCGTCAAATGTATAATAAAATCACGTTTTTAATATATTTTGTGATTATTCTGTACATTACTAGTGAATGTGAGTGTAAAACACAGTGAAAAAATCAATACATTTATTGTAATAATACTGAATTATTTGTGAAATTATAACTTATTATACAGAATTGCTTTTGAAATATTCCGTATATTAAAAGCAGTTTTCTTATACTCTGTATTAAAATTATATATTATGAACAAAAAATAAATGCTCAATAAATGCCAACATCACCGACAAAGTCTTGCATAATTACTGTGAATATTATAATAACAGAAAAGTATTGAAATAATAAAAACAATATTCTTTGGATTATATTTCAATCGTTACTACAATGGAGTCGTTGGAGAAAATGTTGCGAAAACTCTGTATAATAATGTTTCTCAACGTAAATGTCATTCATTTGAATCAAATGTACGTTTTGTGTGACTTTACGTACGGCTACGAGACGGACGACTTCACGTTAGCCATCATTAACCTGACCTATACTGACCCCCACACCGGTGTCCAGCACTCGGAGTACGAGGAATACGGCAAATATACTGTCGGTAGGATTGGGTCCGTTAGTGGACGGTTAGGTAAGCCTTCAAGCAAATCATACCATTAATATACTAATAATAAAATATATATTAACTTAATATTAGTAACTAGTAAGTAAAATATCAGCCCAGGGTATTATCTATATCATTGGGGAAACCGATATAATATGTTATTAGGATAACTGTTATTAATTTTGTACATCCAGTTCTCACAAAAAATTTGCTTTTTTGATATAAAAACTAGTTTTTGTTGTAATTTAAATGAATGGCTCAATACTTTATTTCCATTAGTTAGATATCCCACCCGGAGCTATAAATCTTGAATTATTTTATTAATCCATTTATTTGGGCACAAAACTCCGTAATATAAATGTGCGCAAAAATCTTTAGTTAATAATTACATCCATTTCCCTACGGCTCCTAAAAAGGGATATGTTTTGACAGTTAGTTTTTTGTCTCTCAATCGACTAAATTAATGACATTTATTATTAAGGTCTCTCTCTCTCTCTCCCTCTCTCTCTCTCTCTCTCTCTCTCTCCACAACATACCAGTGCTTTTAATAAATTAATGCATTATTAATAAACAACAGCACATTATTTGGTGGTAATAACCCTAACACCAACTTCACACACAATATACTGTCATTCAATCACAACATATCACAGAATATTTGTATTCAAAAATAAATTTCTAATTATTGTTGGATTTATTTGATCTCATGCACTGGTAGTTCATCCGATAAGTCAGTAACATCACACATACAGTGACTCACACCCCAGTGCTCATCATACTTTAGGACATTACATAATTGTGTGTCTACTTTAGATTAGTTGTATTACATGGGGTTAAAGGTTTCTATAACAAAGGGTTAAATTCTTGAGGTGTATGAGTCTACTCACAGGGGGTGTTAATCCTAACACAATATATTGAACAGAATAACTAGAATAGCATATATTTAGTGTACAATTCCTTACATATTAGGGAATATTCTGTAGAATATATCGCAAGAATTATATGCAATACTAATTGTGGTATTATTATCACGACTGTAGTGCACGTGTCGAGCAATGGTCGGCAAACGCACGACGCGTGTGAGCCCATCGACGCCGACATAATGCCGTCGGAGCCGTGGATAGCGTTAGCCCAATACGGCAATTGTCGCGATTCAGTCAAACTCAAACACATCGCCACCACCAACGCCTCGGCCGCCGTCATATACAACAACCGGGCCGGCACGAGGCTCATCAAAATGCATCACAAAGGTATGTCCACACCTGCCTGTCCACTCACTGTCTAGTTATTTATATAGTCTGCCAATAGTATGCCAAAATTAGATTGTAGTTTATTATTATGACTTATGTCTACAATGATTTAATTATTGTACTTGATATCGCATGAAGTGTTATGTGTGGGGTATATCTATAGCGATCCATGGTCTGGATATAGTCACCAATCAGTCCATTATATCGCTAATAATAATACCCAGATAAATTGTGCTTACATAATATTTAATAAACTCACTTGTTAGTATTTATTGAACGAAATTAATGTCAAAAGTTATTGTGTAATAATATTCTTTACGATTCTGTGTGCCTTTCCCCTTACCAGTGCCCTGAAATTCCTGATCTTACAATACTAGCGACATATCTATACAATCTATACAATAGTCTCTCCCATTATGAGAGCAACTAATACCCGGGAATTATTTCTCTATAATTGTATGGCTTTTACTCTTAAGACTAATAGAAATCTTATGATTCTTATGAAACAAACGATTCAAACAATTTCATCGATCAATACTCGCATTATATAACAGTTTTTGTCGTTATATTCATTACTTTCTCTCTTAAATGTCTCCATTTTTCGTGAACTTATGTTAAATGTAATGTAGTTATCATTTTGCTATTTTTTGTGTGTACAGTATAATTTTTATTATTATTTTTATATATACAATTATCAATAAATATAAATTTATGTAATAAGTGTAATAAGATATAACATTAATACTGTTTAATGTAAATAACATTAAATTTTATTTTTAAAACTTAATTTATATATACCAATGCTATTATTAGTTAGGCAATAATAATTTATTATTTATAAATATCAATTTTATTGCTTTATATGTTAAACATTTATTTTATAAAATTATTTTTACAAACAAAATTGACGGCTATTTTTACAATTGTTTTACTGTGTATTCAATACTTTATTTGCTATTCATTTGGCAGTGAAATTAAAATGAATGCCCTTTTTATAATTAAATTAAAACAAACCAGTGTCTGATAAAAACACTGTCCACCACCGGTAAATATTTTATTATAATAAAATAATATAATAAAAACATAGATAAACGCAATATATAACAGGATATTATAGTAATGGTATATTAAATATTTTGATAAATTTGATAAATTTTAATATTAATATACTAAGAATCGTGATCAGTTAATGTCGTAAATATTACTTTACCATATTTATTAGTCTATTCACAAGTATTGTATTTGTTATATAAGTATTATAATAACATTATGAAATACTTTGCGTGGAAAATGTTTATTAAATTTAGACTTAATTAGTAATATCACTTAATTAGATTAAAAGTGTTGTACGTTTTAAAATGCCCATTTTATATATCGGACCCCTGAAGTGAAATTTTTAATTAAAATTAGATCAAAGAATAGTATGAATAAAAATACCAGACACATTATTTGCATACGAAATTAATTGTCAAAGTTAAATGTCAAATGAAAATGTATTTTTTATCAATTTTTGTAGCATCGTATGAGCGAATGTTAACTTTATACAATGTATTATATATAAAAATAATCAGTAGTTATATGACACAAAAATCTCATTAAAAATAATACCTAATATTAATATCATATATAATTAGTAGTTTTAAAAAATACTTGATTTGTTTAATGGATTTTCGTATTAGATTTCATGGCATCGGATATTTTGCCTGCGAGTATTAGCTATTAGTCTCCCACTCATTATAATTAAGTTAAATATTAGACTTGAATAGTGAACTAGCATAATCATTTTGCATTTTGACGGTATACGTTTAAACTAAACATATAGATTAGCGACATAATTATTTGACTTGAATACTGTATATAAAATACCGTAAGTATAAAATGGTAACATTAAATTAGTACGGTTAAACGTTGTATCATTAAAATAAACTTATTATTAAATTACTTCAGTGTATTGGATATACATATATCAATATCAACCCGATTTACATTAAATTAGCCGTGTATAATTTACTAAAATCTAAACTCTAGCACAAATACAGTAATAGATTGAGTGTAGGGGCAGAGGTTGAGGAGATATTAAAATAAATTATATTTATGTAAATTAAATGCCTTTAGTGTTAAAATACTGGAAAACTGCGAGTAAATCTAAACTCTAGCACAAATACAGTAATAGATTGAGTGTAGGGGCAGAGGTTGAGGAGATATTAAAATAAATTATATTTATGTAAATTAAATGCCTTTAGTGTTAAAATACTGTAAAACTGCGAGTAAAACATTTTTGGCTATATTACAAATTTTGAATTAAAATAATTTTCAGAATACATAGACATCCCAGTGTTTAGCCCTCAGAGCACCGTTATGTTATGAGCACAGGATTTTAGTCTCTCAATAACCCTCTATATGTTTTGTATATACACTGTATATGATATACTATAGTAATCGGTTTATTTTTAGAGCCGGAATTACATGACATTATATTTAGAGCTAAAATAAATTTTAAATTCTGTTTGATATTTGTTTGTTTTTAAATACAGGGAGCGGATTAAATCTGCGGATAGAGAAATAGCTACAATTATAAACTTTTAAGTTGATAAGATTTTAAACAAATATAAACACTTGCATAAAACAAAAGCATTACCTCTCAATTTTATATTTTAATCATTCACTATCAATTAATCTGTGTATATAGTGATAATATTTTGTATTGAAAAGGCTTGTATAACATTTCTCTATCCGCGTATTTTCTCCTCTACCTGTATATAATAATTATTTGTATAAATATATCATAAAAATGAGTTATATTTCCAAAATATACTTGAAATTAAAATTACAATAATATTTATGATTATTATTCTGTGTATATTGAAAAATTGTTTATCATTATGACACTACAGTTTTAATGTTTATAAGTTATAAAATGTTTTGCTGATATAATGTATAGACATTTATGAATTAACAGACTTTTAGTGATTCTCTCTCTCTCTCTCTCTCTCTCTCTCTCTCTCTCATCGTTTTTCTGATGACACAAACCCCTCCCAAACAAATGCTATGGGATTTCGATGACCCTATCAATGGCTGCATTTGTTCGCACATACAATGGGTTTAATGAACTTAACCCCAAATATAATGTAAAACTAAATTATTTATAAATGTATATCAATACATCATTACATAATAGATGAAAACATGTATTCATTTGAATTTTATTTTCTGGCAATAATAGCTCGACTCATAAACATGTGTTTCGTAAATTGAAAATTAAATTTCATATATTCGCATGAATAGCGAGTTAATTAAATTTAGTGAATATATTGTATATTAAAAGAAAACGGCATTCTCTTATGTAAACATGTTTGTGACTTTAAAACAGAATATTCTGTGCTCACTAATTCTTAAGGAATTTTTATTTCATATGTAATCCCCTTAGAAACAAGAGAGAGAGAGAGAGAGAGAGAGAGAGAGAGAGAATTATGTATTTTCTACTATAAGAATATGTAAGAATATTCTGAGCACTTTTACATAGCATACTATGGACTTTATATAATCTAAATAATGCACTAAAAAATGTTTTTTTTCAAAATACAAGTTTATCCCTAAACCGAGAAAATGTGAATTTATTATTCCATTTACTCTCCAAACGTGTGTTTTCTCTAAATATTTAATTTTTGTCATTAATTTGTTTGCTATGTTATCAACGTAAACAACATGGGTATGTTTTCCAGACATGTCATACTGGTTATGGTGTACCGTATTTAACAGATATTTACAGATGGATAACATAATATTTTGGATTATTTTGTCATTTATTATATAACATACTAACATCCTTTTTCTAACGTAAGACTAAATGATCCGGGTGCCATAGTGAGTTATCCAGAATTTTCTATTAAGTTTGGTATTAATCTTATTGTTTGACGGTTTAAACAATAATCATTTTCTATATAATTAATTATTGATCATGTAATGTGTAAATATAATGATAAATTTATAATAATAAACACAATGCTTTCATAATTAAACTTCTCTAATGGGAAACAATTAAAACTTAATCAATAATATGCACACAAATTGTTTATTGAATTATAGTCTTTTTAATATCATTAATACAGTACCCTTTCGTAATAAATACTTAATTCAATTTTATTCCCATTAATGAGTAGTAAGTTTATCGGATATAATTTCAAACAAATCTCACAAATATATTGTCAATTCACTCGACCCTCACATATGAGATGACAAAAACACATTTTGAGTGATTCCCAGGTATTTACCGAGAAATCCATTATATATTACGGTAATGTTTTGTTAGATAAGATTTGATTTTGATGTTTAATAAATGGATAATTGATTTTATTCTTCAATAATAGCAATGATGAGACAAAATGATCATTTGATTTATCTATAAAACCCACTCAAACACTAGATTTTATATGAAATACACAATTGTCTCCCGTTTTTGAGGTCCTTATTGCCATATATTTCTTATATTTATACATAATTTGAACTTATTATTTGGAAAAATTAGTGATCTAGGTTATCAAATAATATTTATAGTGAATTTTATTAAGTGATAAATTATATTTTCATTTATCATATTTTGTTATTCAAAATTAAACTCAAAAATATATATAACTTTATTTGAATGCATGAATCCTGTTCCGCATTTACCTCCACAACCCCTTGTCATATGATTCATATGTATTACCCATTGAGATGCACAAGTAGTTTGGATGTCGATAAGGACATACCGTTTTATAATGTATATAAATATCAAATGTTAGCCCAGAAAACAGCCCGCAAACCATATTTGCAAACAATTTCAGTCCTGAATAAGCAATAAGTCATACATTATTTTGCGGGTAAAGCAGTTTAATGTAAATAACATTAAATTTTATTTTTAAAACTTAATTTATATATACCAATGCTATTATTAGTTAGGCAATAATAATTTATTATTTATAAATATCAATTTTATTGCTTTATATGTTAAACATGTATTTTTTAAAATTATTTTCACAAACAAAATTGACAGTTATTTTTACAATTGTTTTACTGTGTATTCAATACATTATTTGCTATTCATTTGGCAGTGAAATTAAAATTAATGCCCTTTTTATAATTAAATTAATTTTATATCAAACCAGTGTCTGATAAAAACATACTGTCCACCACCGGTAAATATTTTATTATAATAAAATAATATAATAAAAACATGGATAAACGCAATATATAACAGAATATTATAGTAATGGTATATTAAATATTTTGATAAATTTGATAAAATTTTAATATTAATATATTAATACTAAGAATCGTGATCAGTTAATGTCGTAAATATTACTTTACCGTATTTATTAGTCTATTCACAAGTATTGTATTTGTTATATAAGTATTATAATGACATTATGAAATACTTTGTGTGGAAAATGTTTATTAAATTTAGACTTAATTAGTAATATCACTTAATTAGATTAAAAGTGTTGTACGTTTTAAAAATGCCCATTTTATATATGGGACCCCTGAAGTGAAATTTTTAATTAAAATTAGATCAAAGAATAGAGTGAATAAAAATACCAGACACATTATTTGCATACGAAATTAATTGTCAAAGTTAAATGTCAAATGAAAATGTATTTTTTATCAATTTTTGCAGCATTGTATGAGCCAATGTAAACCTTATACAAAGTATTATATATAAAAATAATCAGTAGTTATATGACACAAAAATCTCATTAAAAATACTACCTAATATTAATATCATATATAATTAGTAGTTTTAAAAATACTTGATTTGTTTAATGGATTTTCGTATTAGATTTCATGG